GGACAAGGTGAAGAAGGCTTTGCAGGAAGTAGCGAAGGTTGGGGACCAGCGATATCAGGAGGGAAACATTTCCATGGGAAGGTATCGCGAAGGACTCCGAGTGATGAACACTAAGGTGGACAAGATTGCGTTACAGAATGAAAAGGAGATCGCTAGCGTCAAGAAAGACGTTGAGGAGCAGAAGAGGAGCTTGGCGCGGATGAAAGAGGGACTTGACGGCGGCGTGCATGGTCCCCAGTCATTTTATGTAGGGCGGAGCGAAGATCCGACAGTGGAACGAGAGAGACTGCGCGCGGAGAGAAGGAGTTCAAGCGTCGGGAAGGATCAACGGTTGACTGGGGAAACTGCACTGAGTAGAGAAATCGGCATCATCCAGGGTGAGTTAAAGTCGCTGCAGGTGTCGGTGGACAAAGGGGCAGTTATGCAAAAAGGGGAGATGGAAGGGTTGCGAAAAGAGAGTCAGAGCGCCGAGGCCCGAATGAGGGCGATGGAGGACAAGATTTCCCGAGTGGCAAAGGATAGCGCAGAACTAAAGGATCTAGTTCAGAGACGAATAGGATCACTGGAAAGGGAACGCGACATGAATAGCGATAGACTAAAGTTGACTAAAGGCCGCTGAAAAGGTCAACAAGGACTTGGAGAGAAGACTTGACTCCATTGAGAACGACAGCGATCGGCGAGATCAAAAGATGGAGGAATTCATGCAGAATATTCGAGCCAGAGTGGAAAAGATGACGACTGTGGAAAAGAGCGATGGGGTGTTGGCCAGACTGGTCGCGCTTGAAGAGAAGTTCCAGAGTGTAATTGGGGAAACGGCAGCACCAGCCGGGATTGGAGAGCCGAGGTCATACGGGCCGGGATCTTTCGCAAGGCGCGGGGATCACGGGTCAGCGTATACACCCGCTCCGAGCGTGGCGGAGGATGGTTCAATTCATGGGGAGACATTCCACGGGCAAAGGAGGGGTTGCGACGCGAATGCACGATCTTCATCGGGCGGACTTATGCACGAAGAAACGAGAGGGAGCGATATGAGAGCGTGCAAGTCGCGCCGAGGGGTCGTGAGAAGAGATATGATGAGACTGTGTCCATCATGCGCGTCTGCAGTCTGCGCGCAGTGTTTCAACCCAATGAGCGAAGAATGCCCCAGATGCGAGGTCAATCGCACGCAGTCGGGGGAACAAAAGAGAGCAGGGAACGCCCAAAATCACGCGTTTCCAGTACCGAGAGGCATGAAAGGGAACCAAGGAAGTGGCGCAATAGGGGGCGGAAACGATGGTGGAGATGGAGGATCGGGATGCAACAAGTGCGATGATATCAAAATCGCGAAGATAGCCCTCACGAGCCACAGCGTGAACTCATGGATCAATGGGGTAGCTCAGGCGGCAAGACTGGCATTCCTATATGATGGGGAATATGCGCGCGGCTGTGTGGTCAGAGTGCTACACATGACGGAGACGATGCGAAGGAAGCCACTATATTATTCAGCACTTGAAAGCAAGCTGTATGCTGCTCTGCGCGATACGGTGAAGCCCAATACGGCGGAAATGAGTGTCGTGAGTAGCGTGGAAATGAAGGCGTCAGGACAGGGGACTATGCCTACGGCGATGCAGCTGATGTACACGCTACTTGACCGAGCGCGCGTGCCGGCGGAGGAAGAATGCGCCGTATTCACGCAAGCACTTCTGAATGTGGAGTTGCGGACGACACCGGGGAAGAGCGAGGAGCAGTCACTGGAAGAGTTCCTTACTCGATGGGATACGGCAATGGGGAACTTGCTGCAATCACAAGACACGACCATGTCGGATCTGGTTTTGGCTAACACGTTTCTCTCGAAGATTCGGAGTGCATCCTGCATGTCCCATGCAGTGGACAAGTGGTCCGATCTCGCGCCTGGGGAGAAATCCTACGACTGGATTCGGGGAAAAGTGGAGCTTAAGCTCAGGACTTGGAGACAGGTGGTGAATAAGGGGGAGATGCACGAAGAACACATGAGATTGGCTGATTCGAATGGGTACGTCGCGCTGCCAACGGAGCAGACGGGTACGCAGAATAGGGGAAGGACGACGACCCCTCACAGGCAGGGCAGCCTCAACCAAAATCAGGGACAAAGGAGAGACGGCTGGCCAAACTACCGGGGAAGAAGCGAATCCGCCGAGAGGTCAGGGAGCGGCCGGGGGATGTCGGTGCCGCCCGCGGTTAAGGCGCTCATTGGCACGAAGGACGATCCGAAGGTCAGATTTGGATCAAAGTCCCCGCGTGGCAAACGCAGGATATGTTATCCATACACGAGGGGAGAATGCCCGAGAACGGCGATGGACTGTCAGTACTCGCGCGACGTATACCTCTATGACGAGGCGGCGCCATTCTTGGAACAAAAGGGGTACTGTCCGGCGTACAACAGATACGGGTCATGCCGCGACGAGACGTGTAGATTCCTGCGCAGTAAGCCGCCGCCAGAAGTTCTAGAGGACATACCTACAAAGGAGATCCCACAGAACAGAATGAGGACCGAGAGCCCACACCCGGAAGCGCCGGGCACGGATTTTGCCTAGGGGCGAGCCGAGGCCCTGAGGCTAAAGCCGCAGATGAGGCGCTTAATGGGGATCGAGAAGAAACTTGGGCAGCGCCGGCGATAGAGGATAGCGACGGAGATGAAAGCGGATCATTTAGCGACGATGATTGGGAGAATTCGTGCGCCAACGTGTTGCGAGGAGATAGCTCGGAAAATGAAGATACGGAGATTGGGGATTTTGAGGAAAGACACCCAAGGGCCATTGCGCGGGGAAGAGTTGCAGTGCCGGCCATAGAGGGGAAGATCATCAGGAAGAGGAATGGGGAAGTTGTGAAACCGATAAGACGAGTGGGGCCGATGCGCGACCGGAGGAGAGCCAGTCTGTATCGTGGTGTGCGCGGACTCGGTTTCGACGGGCGAGGAACGGTTGGGATGAGCATCACATATCACGAGGGTCCCATAGCCCAAAGGCTCACCAGAAAGTGCAACAAACAGCGTAACCTGAACTTTAAGTCCGGGGTAAAGCTTGACCCTGACATAGAAGCTGACCGGGCCAGAGTCCGAGCACTCGCGTTGACGGAAGAGGTGAGACTTGAGAAGCAAGAAGCTGAAAGTGAGAGAGAAATTAACATCATCACAGAGATCGTGGTAGAAGAATGTCGTGACCATGGGATCACAATCAACGCCGAGGAGGCGGTGGTGAAGCGAGTTGTGGAGGCTGCGTCAGCCATCGCGCTGGGGACACATGCCATTAGGAGAAAATGGATGAGATCGATTCCGGGTGCGCGATGGACCTCATTTCGGAACGCGAGCTCCTCCCCGAAGAGGCTGCGTTGGCTAAACGGGTAAAGAATATCACATTCAACACGGCAAACGGCGGAACCTGGTCGGAAAAGGAGGTAATGTTCAATATCGAGCCCCTGCTTGAGTGCGTGTTCGTGAGAATACTCAAGAGCACACCCGCAGTACTATCAATGGGGATGAGATGCGTAGGGCAAGGATACAGCTTCCACTGGCCAGCTGGACAAAACCCAATATTCATACGACCAGACAAACAAGTGGTGAAGCTTCAGGTGCTCGGGGATATTCCATACCTCACGAACGCCAGATCCACGGTCGAAGTCCATCGGGCAAACGCTGACATGCGTATTCTGTCAGCCATGCCGGCACCCATAGTGTTACCGTCAAAGTGGGAGAAGAGGACCAATGAGGCCAGAAACGCGCAACCAGGTATCATCAATGAGCACGAGGGATGCTCAGACGAAGAAATCGATGAAGAGTTGGAAAACATTTCAGGAGTGGCTGATATGATGGGCGATACCAATGCGCAGGCTAGAGATGAATGGGGATATGCGAATGGGGAGGTCAAAAGATTTCACGACACACCTCGATCAGAACCTTTTGACCCATCTCAATCCTTGACAGCGAACCTTGGATGAAGGAAATCATCATGAAGTTGAATAGTTCAAGGATCACGTATATGAAAGATAGACTGGGGAAAAAGATCACCATCCGCGACGATTGGATAGAAGCAAGGACAACACGAAGACAATCCGCCGCGCACTTGTCAGAATGGACTGGAAAGACATACTTCAAGGTGATGGCAGGCCGGATTGAGAATCATCAAATCGCACAACTGATAAAGGAATGGGAAGAGAACTCTCAACAGGGCCACGAATGCCCGCCAATCATGGGAGAAAGCGCCGATGAAGTTCCTCCATCTGCGAGGGGGGATTCCCAAAATTCGGCGGGCAATCGAGAATCGGAAAACGAAAGAAGCGATAACAAACCGAAAGAGTCAACGGCTGGCGATTCGAGTAACGATGGTGATGACAACGGGATCAAGGCGACGCCAGCGAGGACCACGGCCCACGAAATCGGTGGAGACGACGAAGAGGAGAAGACGGATCTGCTGCAAATGCTGATTGGCGAAGAACAAGAAGAGAGTCGCGCAGTGAGAGAGAGAGCGAGCGGCTCTAGAGATGAGCCAGATATGGGAGTCGAGGGGGAATTGCCCGATGGAGAGGAACACCAAGAAAAGGAGAACGGGGATCCGAATGGGGTAGCAGCCGGCGAAGGCGGAAGTGAGCAGGCCATCGAGGCCGTAAGTGAGAGAGAAAGGCGACAAGCCGATGAGCGGAGGCTCAAGAGACGAAGTGGGGATCCGAACGAGGCCACCACTACACAGCATCTATTGACCCACTTTCCCAAGAACATCCACTGCGTTTCATGTAGACAGGCGAAAGTCACAAACGTACGATTCACGCGGCGAAAGAAGCCGAGGGAAACCAGTGAAGACCAAGCCAAGTTCGGAAAGAGAGTCACGGCAGATACCATTGTGCTTAGAAACCCCAAAGACCGGGGAATAAATGGGGAAACAAACGCCATCGTGTTCTATGACTTACACACTGGGTGGATTGAATGCGTTCCCGTCCGGTCGAGGGAAACAAGCGAGACCGTCAGGGCTATCAACCACTACAATTCAGAGGACTGACAGACATCCTTGGCGAAATTTATACTGACCAGGCGGGGGAGTTTGCTAAAGCATGCGCCATCATTGGGGCATGTAACGGTACGGCGACACCGGGCATGCCACGAACCAACGGCCTAGCTGAGTCGAGAGTCAAGGAGGTGTTAAGCGGGGCGAGAGTACTGCTGAGACAGGCAGGGTTGGAGGCGAAGTGGTGGCCATACGCTGTGAAGGCATATTGCCTCCGCAAGAACGTGAAGGAAGTGGATGGGGACGAGACACCGTACCGAAAGAGACATGGTGAAGAGAAGCTTCAGGTTGAACTCATGCCTTTTGGGTGCCTAGTGGACCTCCTACCCATCGCCGATAAGCCGCGGAGGCCGAAAGAGGGGATCAGCGATGAACAAGCCGAGAGGGAGGAAGCGGAGGAAGATGCGCGAGTCGAACGGGGTGACGAAGATGTGTCGAGCATAGCCGCGCCGGCGGTGAAGGCGAAGTTCGATCCGCCTACTTCGCCCGGTATTCATCTCGGGTACGCACAACTCCCAGGCGGAAAGACGAATGGGGATTACATGGTTGCGGAGATGTCACACTTCCTACACGCGGTGAAAAAGCCTGCGGCGCACCAAACCAAACGGATTGTTCCACCGGAGCATGAGGGATGGTACTTTCCGATGGAACGGGTGTACGAGCATCGGACAAGATTGATGACCGAGTCGAGAGCACGGGCGATAGCCAAAATCGAGCACGACCGCGAGAATGGGTATGTGCTCAACGATGCAGTCTTCGACGAGGGAAGGGAATCGAAGAGAGACACAAAGCAGAAGATCGAGGACGATCGAAAATTCATCGGGGAAAGTGACTACTGGGAGCACGTTCCTGACGAGAGAAAGTGGGTGCTCCATCATATCATGATGAGGAAAGACCTAGTCTTGCCCGGTGAAGAAGCATTGGCAGGTGACGGCCCGGGAAGAAGGGAACTAGATAAGTGGAGATACACCAGGATGGTATCCGCGTCGGGGAAGGTGGAAGAGAGATGGGACGACAGATGGGAGTGTACCACCGCACCGAAAACACGATGGTGTGGTGAGAGTTGTTTCTGGGAGAAAGGGTGCGCGCCCGAGCCTCCCAAGAAGAACCGGGAGCAAAAGGATCAAGGAGTCCGATCCCGGGGAGTGGGTCTTGACTACGAACAAGACACGCCCAGAAGAGAGCGGGCGTACGCGGGATCCGGAAAACCGAACATCATATCAACTGAAGAGTGGAACAACATGAGTGTTGGGCAGAGACGAGAGTTCGTCGAGCAGGACCGGAAGCGAATCCTAGATGGACTCAGGGAAGAGGCATCAAGACGTGCGGAACGCGTTGAGAATCGGGAAGAATGGGTACAAATCGCAAAGTCGACCTGGATGGCGAAGAAATATGCGGCCGAGAGACCCATCGAAGTCCCGGATCACTACGAAGTATGGACGAGGTACGATTCCGCGGCTAGGACGTCTCGTGGAACCCACGGAAAAGGACCGAAGCCTAACACCATTTGGTGGAGGGTAATCTTCTGTGCTCGGAACCAATCCCTGAAGGGGTTGGAGGTGAGATCATGAGCAGAAGACTATCACGGCAGCAGGATACCGTCACGGAATTATGGTACGAACCAAATGAGCGCCTTGCCTGCCGAAGAAACCTTGTCTCATCGAGTTCGCCTGTGAACCAGACTCTCGGCTTGCCGACACTGTCGAGAGGATGGGCGTGAACAGCGTACGGGTGCACAAAGACTCATATGACATCTTGTCCGAGGAGGACATGAAAAGACTCGATGAGATCGTGGACGGGGAAGAGCCAGACATCTGGGGAGCATTACCATGCACCATGTGGTCGACGTGGCGCTAGCATTGCGACCCTGGATCGGGCGTCAAAGCTGGTGGCGGAGGTTGGGACGAAGGGCGGTGAAGCCGTCATGCCGGGGGCGAATCGAATCGTCTGGGAGGAGCAGCGCGTAAAGATGTTTCCGAATGCAAGATAGCTGAGCGCGCTCATGAACAGTAATCTTCGACCGGGGATTTTCGACGACGCTAGTCTGAAAATGGTTTCGGGTATGCCGGCGGATTGGAGACCGGAAATCAGGAGCCTGGCAGATTTCATTGGGGAGTTGACCAACACGGCGTCGTATCTGGCTCAGGCATGCAGGGCGTTGAACGCCACTCCGATGCTGCGCCCGCACTTGCCTTACGCGTTCGCCGTGATCGCGAAGCTGAGGAATTTCGTTATGGCCTTGGTGCAAGCGTGTAAAGAGTACGGACTGGGGACTAAGGCGTTCGAACTCGTAGACTGCCCGAGGCAATGGAAAGAGCCATTTTCGGCAACCGCCGGGGAAAGGCCAGAGTTCTTCCCACGTTCACTGGTGGAGGTGCTACGAACACACGCTTCGGCGTTAGCAGTAGTGGGGACGAACGCTGAGAAGGCATCTCTGTCATACGACGCGGCCATTGGGTACCAACGAACGATGGTTGGGGAAGAGGAAGTCGGGAAGCAGCTCGCAGAGCACATGATGGAGGAGAACATCCCGGACAGGTGTTACCGTCTCGTGAAGATCGTAGATCAGCAGGAAGACCGGGTATTTTTACAATTGGCCATACATCCGACCGAGCAGGTGATCAGCTCGAGGGCCGTATTGGCGGTGACTGGGGGGGAATTCCACGGACGTTCGGAATGACAGAGGAGCAGGTGAAGGACATGCTGAACAGGTACGTGGGCACGCCGCCAGGGAGCATCACGAATGATGCGATGAGGATTCCGGGCCTGTCAAAGAACGAAGTTTTCAGGAACCCAAAGAAGCCGAGGATTCCATCCATGACGGCGCTGAGCAGGGACAGCCGGGACAGAATAATGGGGACAATGCCACCTGAGGAGCTCAGGAGCGACCTGGATCAGGCGCTCAACCGCATCAACGCACTGCAGGACGAGGTCGCAGCGCTCAGGGCGCTAGACAGAGCGGAGCCTATCTCCGAAGAGCGGTTGACACGAATCATGGAGGCAGCGAGCGAGCCCGAGGAGGTGGACAAGCTGAACCCGTTCCAGGGAACATACTGGGGAAAACAGGACGAGCTGGAACGAATGAAGTAGAAGTACGAAGAGACCATAGAGTTCCAGTATAAGCGAATCCACCAATTGCAGGACAAATACGATGAGATGTTCGCGAGAAATGACGGGCTGGCAAGGCGCGTTATGGACATGAAGGAGGAGCGAGAAAGAGTGGCGACGCAGCGCGTCTCGGACGCAGACGAGCAGAAAATGCAGGAGATGGTAGCAGCCAGAATCGCGGCCATCGCCGAGGAAATTGAGGAGGAGACAAGGCAGCGGTACCTGAAGAATCTCGAGGCACAAGACGCTGGGGATTTCTCGGTGAGAAAACAGCTGGAGTCTGCTACTGAAACGATTCGCAAGCTCAAATCCGAGATAGAAAGAATGGGGAAAGCTGGGGACGCAAGTACAGCGAGCGCCGGCAGCCAAGGATCGGACGAGAAAATGAAGGAGGCTGGGGAGAAAATCAGGCGCCTTGAGGCGGAGTCATCTGACCTCAGGAAGGAGATTGGGGAACTTCGCAAAGAGGTCATGGACAAGGACCAGGAGAAAATCAGAACGCTGAAGGCGGAAGCGAGCCTCAATGACTACAAGCTCACCCTCGAGGATACCATGCAGAAGTGTATGGGTGCAAACACAGAAAAGGAGAGGGTCGAGAGGGAGAAAGGCGAGGCCGTGGAGGCCGAGAGAAAAGCAAAGAAGGCACTGGGAAAGGCAGAAGAGCAAATCGCCCAGATGCTCAAGGAAATGGAGAAGATCAAGACGGCCGCCTCTCCTGGGGATGATAAAGACGCTGGGGATAACGTCCCACGGAAAGAATATGACCGACTCAAAGCGGACAAAGAATCTCTCGAGATGATTACATCCATGAAGGATGCGGAAACGAGGGTGCTTAGAAAGGATTACGAAAAGCTCGAGGGAGATATGAAAAGACTGGAAGAGACAAACCGCCGTACGAAGTTGGAGTCCATCTCAAAGGAAGAACACGATAGGCTGAAGGCGAAGATGGAAGAGTCGAATCGCGAAAAGGACGACGAGATACAACGGCTGAAGAAATTGTTGGAGGAGGCTAGGAAGGCGGTACCGACAGAGAGTGCGACCGGGGAATCAGACGCTGGAAAGAAGAAGGGAAAAGAGTCCAAGGCTGGGGAGAAAGTCGGTAAGGCGAAAGAGGATAGGGCTGGCTCGCCAAAGGCGAAAGAAAACGAAGACGAACTGAATGCAGCCGATAAGAGAAGAGCCGAAGAGGACGCGGCCAGGAAGAGAAAGGCCGAGGAAGAAAAGAGCAAAGCGGAAGACGAGAAACGGCAGAAGAATAATTAAGGAGGCATCTGACGCAAAGGAGAAGGAAAAGAGCTCGGAAAAAGGGACCGAAAGCGGGGTCGAAAGCGAGGATGCCGACACGAAACAGCTTAGACAAGCATCGCGAGGGAACTTGTCAGAAGAAGAACTCAGAGAACTGAGATCGCGAAGCCCCGCAGGGATGAAGAAGGACGAAACGTTCACGGACGACCAGGGGAAGACGTGGAAGAAGAAAGACAAATCCGATACGGGGACCAAGGGCGCGGAAGCGGAAAGTCCGGGGAACGATCCACCGTCGGCCGAGAGCTCCACCAAATCGGGTGCAGACGATCTAGTAGTGAAGATAGAAGTCAAGGCGGAAGGTGTGCTGGGGATGGACGTGCATGGCGAGAAGAAGAGCGCCGTGGGGCAATGCACGGTCATAGTTGACCCCGCAGGGCTGGGCCACATTCGCAGCGGGCCAATGAGAGCTGGGGGAGCCTCGAAGGCAATCTACAAGTGGCTCGGTTTCGTGGCGGGAGACATCTTCCCTGTAAGAGTCCAGGACATAGTAGACAGCGAGGGCAAGGCATGCTTCCACCAATACGAGAAAGATAAGAACGTAATCCATGCGGTGGGGCCAAATTTCAAGGATTACACAAAAGTCGAGGTAGACGGACCAGCCGGAAATATGCTCGCGACCACGTATCGAAACATATTTAAACAAGCAGTGCGGGCATGCGACCTCTATGGTATTAAGAAGCTAAGACTTCTACCGATCAGTTCGGGAATATTCGCTGGGGAGATGTCACAAGCACAAATGGCGCCGTTTACGGCCCAAGCGATCCAAAAGGCCCTGAGATCCGTGGAGAACTACGTTCTATCTACGCTAGCATGGATGGAGATCGCGATGTGCGTATTCGAACCGGACCAGGTAGAATTATACCAAGAGGCGTTGAAAGAGTTGTCGGACGGGTTCGTGCGACCGGCAAAGCTTCCCAAGGGAATGGGGAAAGGTGGCAAAGCCGGATCACAGAGCGGCGCGAGACACGGTGAGAAGGGAGGAAAGCCGCAAGGTGGCGACGGCGAGAATGACGAGGATGGGGACAAACGCGGGGAAGAAGACGAGGAGCTGAAGGAACGAGATATCCTGGATACCATAATTGGGGACAGAACGACCGACTACACTGAGACGGTGTCGACCACCAAGATTCGAGAGAGAGTATCGGGGGAGAAGTATACACCGTACTGATAGCCGGGAACGAGGTTGGCGGAGGAAACACAGTTGGAAGTGGAATCCCCGACGGCAGAGGCGGACAGAATGAAGACGGACTCAGACGGAAAGAAACAACGCAACCTCATTGTCGCGGACGTTATCAATCCAGTACGGGAAGAACAGGAAGACGAGAAGGCAGCAACGCTCACGGGAATGGAGGTTGCCTGCGTGGATATCGATGGAGTCGTCGGGAGAGACGCGTTTGGGAGGAAGGCAAGCGTTCCCAACTGGGACGCTGGACTCGGCCAAGGTGACAGGAACAAAGGGTACGACGCGGTAGTCAATCAAGGACTCCAGAGGGGCCATTCAAAACGGAGCTCGGTGAAATGCATCAAGATGCACACGGAGCACTGAACGACTCCAAGGAAGCTCAGATAAGGCTAAGAAGACTGTTGGGGAGACAGGCCGGGATGAATCGTACCGTGCTAACGTTGGGGCCAGCGATCGAGAAAGCCAGCGCGATAAAGTATGATGTGACCTATCAGTTCATCGACGCTGCAGTGAACGCCATGAAGGACATGGAGGAAGAGAAGAAAGCGAAAACCATCGAGGAACTGGAATGGGGTACCATCATCCCTAAGAATCACGCGCCGGGGAAAACAATTGTGCTGAGAAAACATTACGAGGACATCGTATCCCCTCTGGCGGATGAAGCCAGAAAGGCGCTGGATCTGAGAAGGGTAGACCACGAAAGAGCCCTCAAGCAAGCCCGGGAGGCAGAGAGTGACATCGTCGTGAGTTGGACATGCGCTACCAGGACTGAACTGGGGATTCGCGTATACCACTCGAAAGAGAAGGAGCCGACGCACGATGTCACGGAGGCTGGGGAGGCCGGGAATGAGAAACGATATCCCGAGGAAGTCATTATGCGTCTTGCAAGAAATGTGGCTGACATCGTCGGTCATGGATTCGAAGGGATGAAAGAAAGCGCGAGTGACCGCGAAAAGCAGAAAGGGGGACCGGGAGCAGCCAATCGTTCAAACCCTCTCAACGATCCGTATTTCCTCAAGTGTAACTCCCACGCAGTGCCATGGGAATGGATCCGGGAGAGGGTAGAGGACAGATGCGGATACACCATTCGGGATCTCGAGACAAAGGAGATTGCGTACCAGGCACAGAATTATGGTGTGGAAGTGCTAGGAACGCTGGGGATAAGCGCGGGGAAGAATGAAGAAGGAACAGAGACCGTCAGATTGGGTATTCATCGGGTGCTGGCCATGAGACCCGCCGCCACGATTGGGACGATCCACCAGGTGGCGGGCACGACGGTGTCCGGTAGGGAGGATCGGCTGGTGCCAAATGGGGAAAGCGCCAAGGGTATTTGGAAAGAAATCGAGGTTGGGGAGTTGCCCAAGCTCGCGTACTACACTGTGGGTATCGGGCAGTGGATCAAGATTATGGAAAACAATCTGACCATCACCCCGGAGAAAGGTGATGAGAATGTGGTGTTGGACTGGTACCCGACGGACGACGCTGCCGTACAATCCTCCGTGGCAGAAACGATCCATGGACAGGGGGAACCCGGAAGGCAAGCAAGCGCCGATGAGGACGCAGGACGATGACCTCGATGCAATGGTGCCGCTCAGACTGGATCACTCGAAATACGGGAGGCACCCTCATGTGATCCAGCAGCTCAGGAGACTGGCGCACCGGGGAAGACGAGTGACCTTCGCCATTGACGTTGCTCTAATTAGAGCCGCTGGCGGAAGAGTGTATCTCACGAGGAATGGAAGGTTGGCAATTCCGGGAATCATCCCGAATGCAGCGTGGCAGTACATATACTTCGAGGACACGTGCACGCTGATATATGACCGGGGAATGGAGATTGCTAGAGCGGACGTATCCTACCAGGGAAAGACAAGCAGTGACGACGAGACGTTCGCGGAGATCGACAGCAAACGAATGAAGGACCCACGACACGGTAACGCCATCACGTTGCTCAACAAGTGTGGGGTACCGACGACATACTGCGTGGCACGCAAGAAGAGAAGGATGATGGGGATAACGATATGTCAGTCGTGTTTCTTGCCGCAGGTCCCAAGGCCAGACTTTCTGGAGGGCGTGCCGGGGAAGACGTTGGGGAGGTTAGATTCGCCATACGCACAATGGAAGAAGAATTTCGTGGCAACGGGGAAGGAACTGGGTATTGACATGAAGAAGACTGGGGACAGATATCAGGAGCTCAAGCTTCACCCGAGAGCTATCTCGGGGATGTTCTCATGTTTTCATCCTATCGAGGATACTGTCATGCACTACAGAACGGGGATCCAGACGGACACCATCGCCGCGGCGCGGAAGGCGATGGTGAACAGATTCCTCATGGACGAAGTGTACGTGAGAGCGATGTCAATTGACCTGAAGATTGGGGGAGAAATCGCCAAGATGTACAACAACCACGTAGGCGTGCTCCAGCGTGAGCTCTCTCAATGCAGATCATTTGGGGATGTTTACATGCTACCGTGCATGATAAGCACGCTGTACACGAGGGTACAGTTCTACACGTCACCAGCGGGATCCAGCCTCCGAGCCGCATTCTGGTATGCGCTGCGTAACAAAATGGCGCTGGACGCGTTCCTGACAAAGATGCAAAGGGGAGAAGGAGCGGCGATTGGGGGAGCGATGCCCGAACAGTGCGCAGTATCGCTTACGAAGCATCTTTTGGCTGATATCATCGAGGGATGGAAGGTGATAAAGAGCTGCCTTGACGACAACGTAGTGAAGCTACGCTACATGCAAAACCTCAGGGACGGAGGAGCTGGGGAGACGACAATCAAGTCGATAAAAGAGATTAGAGTGATGGACTTCGAGGAAGCGAGACGTGGGTCACAGGAGGTGAACAAGCAGGGACAGTACAAGTACGAGACGCCGATAAACGTGGCGCTTCAGACGTACTTCCTCCGCAAGTTTGAGGGAGGATTCGTAGTCACTGACCCGGCGAACTTCGGGAGAGGGCCACATGACCGCGTGATCGAGGCCATGTTCGAGAGGAGGAACTCTGTTTACTGGGCGCCAGCGAGGGCTTTCGTGGAGAAGCAGAGTTACCGCCCGGCAAGACCGGTGGTTTTCCGCGGGCCTGCCATGTCCGAGACGGAAGTGGAAGGGACAAGGGGAGAAAGGGAAGTGAGGCCGCGTCGGGGAGAGAGAAGAGAGAGGGAGGAAATGGCTGACGAAGACGAAGGCTGGGGAGACTGGGGAGCGGAAGGAAAGGGTTCCGAGAGACCCGCTGAACCTGAGGGCGAACCAAGGAGAGATAACAGATCCAGGACACGTGGACCAACCAGAGACGATTGGGGAGAACCAGAGAGAACGGAGCGGCCCGGTCACGGGCGACGGCCAGTATAGGGACGGAAAGATACGCAGATGACAGGTCTGCAAGCAGGTCGGCTCGAGAGGACAACCCTGGCTACGGTAACAGGGATGACTATCGTGGATACGTGGCAGGAACTTTGTACTACGGGAGCTGGGGAAGTGCGTGGAAGGGGCGACCGAAGGGAAAGAAAGGAGAGGGGAAAGCCAACAAGGGATACACGAAAGGAAAGAAAGGCGAAAGGGCGGAGGTAAGAGCGGAGAGAATACGGAGCCCGGTTAGGCGTGAGCGCGATGACGACATTGACCCGTCCGACATTTACTAGATTGACGCGCGAAGACATGCATTATAGAGCGGAAGAGCGAGACGTCTAATTGGGGAAATTGGGAGATGAGATGAATGGTGTAAGGGAGCCAATGTTGAACAGTCGAGGGAAAGCCTCTAGTACTGCGGTTCAGGTGCTTCGGGCTCTGCCGTGGGAAAGATCGCCAGTACTGAGACCGGACGACTTGGTGTGACTGGCACCGGGAATCTCACGGGGAGTAAAGAACGGCCGATCATGTGAGTAAGGTTCGCCTGAAAGCAGTGTGACGTCTAGTGTTGAAACCTCGCCATGGCTCGCCCGCGCCTAATGGGGAAGCAGCAATGGATGGCGGACTACAATGGGTAAAAGATATCTACACCATTGAGGACCAGAAGTGAAAGCCAAATGGGGATTAACGGACTACTCAGAGGATGGCAACGAGTGAGCCTTCGGGCATCATCTTCAACGACATTGCGGACTTATGAACCCGCTTCTGTATAGTCATCGAGAATATGAAGATCTTCAACTGGGGAAGGTTGCACTACATTTTGACCCACGATCTGGTGGAAGGTAGCGCTAAGCTGCGGCGGACCGGGATACACATCATCGGCTTGTGTTGCTTCTTGAGGATGACAGGGGAATGGATCCCTGCGGGTGGTGGCGGGCCTACTGCAAAGCAGTGTGGAGCCATTCACCTATCTTCCTCGGTGTTTGGTGTTGTTCGCCCGATGTTATCCTGTATCACAGCTGCAGCATTCTGTCCGTTCCACACGTCCAGAAAGGGGGGGTGTTTAGCGCCACCTTTACGGATGTCTTGCGTAGGTTACCTATTACTCAGCCCGGAAGTCAGGGCAGGAGAAATCAAGGTTAGCAGGATGGTACAGCCCGGCAAGTAGGAAAGGCAGGTAAGTTGGAATGCAATGGGGAGTTTCCGTTCTGCACTGGGGAAGGTAAGCTAAAGTGGAGTGAACTGGGGAACTTCTGCTGCAGCGACATGTGCATACATGTTCAATTAGTTGTTGCATGTTTCTACTTTTGAAGTAGGAGGACTCTTGACCCGCGGACGCGGTGGACTATTTGGCTCAAGTTCGACAGCAAAAAGGTGTGCTTCGGACTGTTCTAGTAGCGCCCATAGCTTTAGTACCTATTCCTTTGGACTGGGGAACTCTAGTGGGTGTACTTCGACTTCAACTTCCTGGATTACTTGGCCCAAGGCTTCAGTACTTGACTTCGGTTGGGGAACTCCTGTGGGAACTGGGTATCCATCTTTTACAATTTTGTGAGCTCAAAAGGAGTATTTCCTTTCCACTGGGGATCTA